CCATCCCCAATACCTGTGCCTTCCCTTCTACGATGTCCTCCAAAACCCTGTCCAAGAGTAGAAAGATTCATACTTCCACTTCACCCCTTAGTGAGATTTGGAACTAATATTCTAGACTTGAGATTAAGGACACAGTGTCATTGAAACCATGATGCACTCATGCCACCAAATTGTTTGACAATTCTTTTATTCTTTCAACAAATATTCATTAAAGAATGAAATGATCCAAACTTTAAGCCCTGGAATTGGACTAGCTGAGTATATATTCTAGTCTTGATACTTTAAAAGCTATGTAGACATTGAGTAAGCTACTAAAGATCTTCAAGTTTTATTACTTACCTCTCCTGTGAAATGGAGTCAATAGGTTAGTGTTGCTAGAATTAGACCCTTGACACATCATGAGTTGACATATCATGCACTTCACATGATCCCTCAGCCATTATTTGGTGAAGTCAGAGGTTCCCAGACCTCTGGAAGGAAAGAGTGTGTGTGTGTGTGTGTGTGTGCGCGCGCACGCACGCCCATGTACCTGGGGGGAAGCAAGAAAAGACTGGAATTTCTATGTGAATCCATCTCTGTGGGTTTCCTTATAGCTATCTATCTGGACTTGACCAAGTCTTCTAGCTTCTCTTACTCTCTGTTTCTTCATTTCCTGGGATAAAGTTTCCATATGTATATAAAAGATTTTAAATCTTAATATGTATATTAAAAGATTCTGGAAACAGTGTAGCTGCCTGTTAAAGAACTATCTCAACCTCTTTACTTCCTATCAGGCTGCAGATCCAGTGGTATGTAGCTGTGTTTTTAAGAAGCCACTAGAAATGTTCTCAACTAGTCAGGGACATTGTCCAAAGGCTGTGGGCTTAGTCATAAGGCATTCATTTGGGTTTTTTTTGAGAAAAATAAACTCTGAAAACCAAAACAGTGGCCACTTTTCTCTCCTGACACCTTATCTTTCTCCAAAACTGATGACCATTTATGCTGGTGACCAGGCCCTGGGCCCTGGCCTGCAGCAGCCCCACCCCTGCATTAACCAGTGATAGAGAACTGATGGGAGCGGGAGAGACTCTCCTGTTGGCTTCTCCCAGGCCCTCCATCCCTGCAGATGTCACCCAGAGAACTAAACATTAAAGATATGACCTTAAGTCAGAATGAGTCCTTTGTAAAAAGTTCTATAGAGGCCAAAGACATCTGTTTGATTTTTTAAAAATAAACTTTTAAAAATTTTGTTTTTAATTGACAAATAGTAATTATGCATATTTGTAGTATATGGAGTGATGTTTCGGTACATATTGTATATGTGGTGGAGTAACCAATTAAAGGTATTTAGTGTACTCATCATCTCATACATTTATTATTTCTTTATGATGAGAACATAAACATCCTCTCTTCAGCTATAAGTTTCTACAGGCTGATGAATTCCCCCCTGCCCCATGCCTTTCTCCTCTGGTCACCAAAGTTTCCTTCTCTACTTTTATTTTGAAATAAATTTAGATTATAAGAAAACCTGAAAGCTAATTTAGAGTTCTTATATCTTTCTTCCAGCTTCCCCTAATGTTAGCATTTTATAGAATCATGCTACATCTGTTAGAACTAAGAAACCAACATTGGTAAATTATTATTAATTATCTTTAGGCTCTGAATTTCACCATTTTACCCACTAATGTCTTTGTTGTTCTAGGATCTAATCCAGAATATCCCTTGTTCACTTAGTTACTTGATTTTTCCCCCAGTGCGGGGTTTAAACTCAGGGCCATGCATATGCATATGCTAGGCAAGCACTCTAACACTGACCTACACACCAGCCCAGGTCTATTTGATTTTTAAGGTGTCAGTATTGACCTTTTGACTTAGAGATGTGTTAATCAGACTTCCATTATGATAACAAAGTGCCTAAGGTATCCAACTTATAACAAGGAAAGGTTTATTTTCATTCACAGTTCTGGAGATTTCAGTTCAGTTGGCCTTTTGCTTTTGGGCTGGGGTAAGAGAGCACATTATAATGGGAGTGCAAAGCAGAGGAAGCTGCTCATCTTGTGGTGACTGGGAAGTGAAGGAGAGACAGGAAGCAGAGTCCCAATGTCTCCTTCCAGAGCATGCCTTCAATGACCTAGCTTCCTTCCACTGGGTCAACCTCTTAAATATTTCACCACTTTCCAACAGGCTGGGGGTTAAGCCCTCAACACATGGACCTTCAAGGGACATTTAAGATCCAAACTATGCCTACTAGAGAGGGTGGAATTTGAACTCTGATTTCAGCATCTTGCCTAATACATTATTCCATTGCCAGCATCTGCATCTTGATCATACCCCAAGGATGTGGTCATGATGCTCATATTTTACTTGATACTTTTATACAAAATTGTTTTGACTTTTTATCCTTCACCTTGGTGGTTAAATGGCAAATATTCTCTTGCATGAGGAATGCATTGATTGTGTCAAGCAACATGCTAAATGCTCAGATTACCTGATTTAATTTTCCCAGTGACCATTTCTATCCATTAATAATTTCCTACTAATCAGGTACTATTAACATTACTATTTTCATGATGAGAAGACTAAGTTTCATTCTTGTCCAAAATAAACCAGTAAGTGGTAAGACCAGTATTTGAACACAGTCTTCTGATTTTGAGGACAAATTTACTTTCTTTGATGATTTTATTTTAAGCCTTCTGCTTTGCAGAGGTCTGTCCTAGAGCCCTTCCACTTTCTCTTATGGATTGCAAAAATGATTGTATTCACCTCTGAGTACCTGGTAGAATGGTCACTGTAGATAACAAATAATGTCTTTGGTCAGATTAAATGTTTCAGAGGCTAAAGAAGATGTCAGTGGCTGCAGCTGATGGATATAAAATAGCAGGCAAATTTTGGAGTGGTCCAGAATGCTGGATATATGAGCATCCCTGCATGAACCTCTCACTTCACATATTCACACTTCCAACAGCTTGGTATCTTACGTCCTGAATACCCAGGATGCTATGTACACATCTCCCTCCGTAGAGAGGTGCATTTCTTTGGAAAGAGAAGCACCATAGCCAGCCAAGGGAAGATCAAAATCAGGATGTAGAAAATTCAGGGCTCACATTGCTTGCAGGTGACCATGAAGATGATGCAATTAAGTCTGAGACTCATTTCATGAACCTTGTCCTGGGTGTGCAAGTGTGCAGGCAGCTACAAGAGACATAAGCAGGGTAGATACAAACATAGATTCTCAAGATACTTGCAGGCCCAAATCAATTCATTTATTTATTCATTTATTCATTCACAGAACAAGTATTTATTGAATACTTTTGATGTGCTGGGCCCTGTGCCAGTAGAGATTCCTCATCTTGTTCTGCTTTTCAGATCTGCAATGAAACTCTCCATAGGTGCAGCTATATGAAAGACTGGGGATACTCAACACTTTTCTGGAAAATATTCCTAATATTCTCAAAGGAAAAGCAAAGCTAGTTTCTACTGAACACAATGGATCAAATAAATCAGTTCAGAACACTTTGCAGGGAGATCCTGTACCTAATAGCAAGAAGAAAGCAGAGTTCTGTTGTACCCTAGTGACCTAGTATTTTTTCAGGGTAGAGCGAATTCAGAATGGCTCAAGGCCCATCAGAAATTTTTGTTGCTGCATCCTCTCTGACCCTTCTTGTGTATATAAGTGATTAAACTGAAAATGAGAAACACACATGTAGGTATCAGGATAAACTGTGGTGTTTGTCTGGAGAGTTTGCCTTTGGTCCCTACTGCCTAGGAGCATGGTAGACATTGTCAAGAAAGGAGGGACAGGTGCATTCTGCCATGCATGGGGCATCATCATTAAAATGGACTGTGCTGATTCCAAAGAAGGTCTAAAATGAGGGAGAATTGAAGATGTTGTAGCTTGTATCTAGATGTTCCCCATAGTCTCATCCACTCATAGGTAGAGCTTTTCAGAGCTGGCTGGATCCAGGGTGTGGTGCTGGATTTAATGATGTGATGCTGGGATTAAGGCACTCTCCAAAGAGCAGGTAGCCTGGATGAGATATAAAGGCAGGCTTGCTTACTTGCTGGTGCTGCTTCATTACTTCACTGTTTTGCTGCCTTCTGCCTGCCCTGCTTTGCCATGGACTGTTTCTCTTCTGTGCTGCTTATCTGCCATGCCACTAAGTTGGAGTCAGCTAACTATGGACTGAAACCTCTGCAAATTGTGAACCAGAAGAAGAAACCTTTCCTTCTTTAACTTTGGGTGTTGGATATTTTGTCTCAGCAATGAGAAAAGTAACTAGGACAAAAGGAAAAGACACATTCCTGGGAAATACCTACTGCAGTGGTCAAGACAGGACTACAGTTACTTCAGAAACTGTGTGGTGAGGGGCATGTGGACTACAGCATTCACATTTTTCCTTGTTATATTTTGGAAGCATAAGAAGTGCAAACAATGCCATTGGTATGTGAATTGCATTCAGAAACAGGCATATCAAACCTCTTCCTGGAAGCCTGGATGGGAAAGCTGCACAAGGTGAGAATGTTTTCATCACCCAGAAGTCTGTTATGTATTAATGGATGGTGAGATGAAGAAGGACGATGGCAAAGAAGATGTTGTGTGGTGAAGAAGGGAGTAGCTGCAATGTGTCTGCTGTTGGCTCAGAGGGATATTCCAAAAGGGCCCATGCTAAAAGGTTTAAATGCATTTTGGGTTCTCTGCTGTTCTCCATGTGATGGGATAATGTTAAGGAGAGAATTGTTCAGCAAATGTTTGCCTCTTGGGAGGAGAAATTTTAGCATGGGCTAGTATTTTCAGGTAGTAGTATATGCTTTTTTTACATTCACTGCATTTTAAAAATAAATTTTATTGGTACATTTTAGGTATACAATATGATGACATTCATCATTAGGAATTTGTACCTTTACATGATATATCTTGATTCTTATTTTTTTACCCATTTCCCTGCTCTCCCTTCAACCCTTCCACCCGCCCTATTTACAAAGACTTTGTTTCCATTTTTTTCATTTTCTCATATTAATTCCATTCCCTTCTCGGGGAAAAGGGGAAGGGAAAGTGGGAGGGGTAGGGGAAAGGAAAGAAGGTAGTATTATATACTTTACAGTTTGTGTAAACAATAAAAATAGGCTGGGGATATATAGAAGATGGGGAAATGTGAGATTTCAGCTGTATTTGCTTTTGTTATGTGGTGATCACTCTGGGAAGAAGCAACGTGGATTCATCAAAGCTCTGTTTGCAAGGAGCTGGACTTGATTGAGAGAAAAGCTATAATCATGACCTCAGCACCCAGTTTTTTTGGAAAATTTCCACACATGGCTGTTGTTTCCTGATCCTGAGCATCGGTTGGCAAAACTCTTTTTGTGTTCCTCTGGGTCTCTTGACTTCAGACTTGAAATTTGACCAGTGAGCTGGGGAACAAGCACAAGTATTCAGAGGAATAGCATTGGTATCTACAGAGGTTCATCCTGTATGCTATTTCCCACCACTCTAACAATGATGGTAATTTGAATGCATACGTAACCTCGTGATCCTTATTAAAACAAAGCCCCAGAGAGCTGCTGTGTATTTTTTATAGCAGGCAATAAGACAAAATCTGTTAGCCATCCTGGACATAGATCCAGGGAGGGAAAATGGGACATTGTTATGCAACAGGCATCTTCATTCATTACATCTTCACTGAGTAGTACAGCACACGTTTATGGAAAATTTATAATGAACTGGGATTCCTCATTGACACTGGGAAATTTTAGAGATAAATTTAGCCTGATCTCTATTGTAAATGACTCACTATTGTAGGGAGGGAGGGAAGAGGAGAGGGAGACAAGAGAAGAGAAGAAAAGAGAGAAGAGGAGAGGAGAAGAAGGGAAGAGGAGGAGAAAGAGGAAGAAGAAGAAAAAGGAGGAGCAACAGAAGGAGGAAGAAGAGGAAAGGAAAGGAGGAAGGAATAAAGAAAGAAGAATTATTTTAAATTGGGCTTTACATATGGTGCAGTGATATAGAAGAAGGTGTGTACATTCATACGTGGGGGATCATGGGGGTATCATGAGAAGTAATATTTGAGCTTAGTCATGGAATCACTGGGGTGGTATATAAATATCATAGCTCATACAGTTGATAGTCTAGAGGAGAGATAACTGAGGACATTACTCTTTCTGGACATGTCATAGCCATGATTAGTCATGCTTAGTCATGCTTTTGATTTTTCATACTTAAGGTAGCCAGAGGGATTAATCAACATAAATGACAATCCAGTGAAAAAAGCAAGATACAGGAGAAGAGGAGGAAAGAGGAAGATAATTTATATTATGAAAACTTTTTAAGTAATCAAGAGAGGAGTTAATTGAAAATTGTTCCCTTTGAAAAAAAATTAGAAAGGAAGAATTTTATTTCTCATATCAGGCAGGGCCCTTGAAGAGGCCAAATATTTGCTTTTTCCCTGCAGTATCCTTTGGTGCTGTAGAATTCTTACTGAGATTGCCTTCTGGGAAAATGCATCTCTCCACTCTCACCCCATGTTTAGAGGAAGTAAGAGTATAACCTTGGTTTAGGGATACAAAAAAGTGTGACTTAGGCCTGAATCAACCAGAGGACTGAGTTCCTCTGGCTACCCCAATTTGTCAATAAACTGTCATGAGACTCTTGCTGTGATTTTGGGGACTTTCTGACTCTATCACTGAGCTGACATTTTAGGTTCTGTGAGGCTACAGCTGGTGCTGTTTGGCTTATCTGAGATAAGAATCTGTCATCATGTAGAGTCAAATCAGAGGAAACTGATACAAGAAATAAAAAGAAATACTAGATGAAGCATCTTGATCAATCTATGCCTGAAGCTAGCATTATTGCTTTATTACTAGTTACAGAGATCAAATATTTTTAAAATTCATTTTAAATTGGGCCTTTTATTGCTTGTAACCAAACAAGTATAAAGCTGGCTATGAGAGTCTTCATGTTAATTGTCCCATGGGGAAGAAACAATGTATCCAAAGGTGGGGGACATAAAAAATGAAGTAAGGATAAGAAATTTAATTTAGTGTTAATCTCCAGTGCTGGGAAGTGCTGGCGTGGGTTACTTCCCTCTTGTTTTTCATATTTTCCTAGAAGAAATCTGATCAAAATTTCTGATTCAAGTTCACTGATTGTTTTTCTCTGATTGTGTCCAGTCTACTTATGAGCCCATCAAAGTCATTCTTCATTTTTGTTTTTGTGTTTTTTGACTCTCAACATTTCCAGCCTCTCCTAGTTTATGTTTCCTATCTGTTCTTACATATTGATTACTTTTTTCCATTAATATCTTTAACATATAATATTTAAAATTCTTTGATAGTTTCAAAGTTCTTGATACATCTAAGTCTGTTTCTAGTTATTTCTGCTTACTTTCTTGCTTATCTCTTCAAATTATATTTTCTCTGGCTTTTTACCATGACTTTTAAATTTTTAGAGAAAACTGGATGTGATATATTAAGAGTCTCATGCTTTACTGACTGAGATAGCCAGGCTACCTTGGATGTGATATATTAAATAATAGCAACTGGGTAAATAGGCTATTAGTGTGATGTTTTGTGTAAATTAAACTAGGACTGGGACTCTATTTAACATTTTTTCCATCTGTAAGGGTCAGACTTCAATTTCCTCTACTGTCCTTGATTTTACCTTTGTGTTTGAGCTTCCTTAAAAAAAAAAACCTTAATAGCTTTTAGCTCTTTCAGTGATAATTCACTGTTATATTAAAGCCTGGATGACAGAGTGATAAGGTAATTCTGCAATGATAAGATTAAGCTTAAAAATTTTTGTGGTAGCTGTCTGTTATCTTCACAAGTATTTCTGAGGAGATTCTTGTACCTTAAGTGAGATACAAAAATTAGAGCACTGGAGGTTGGGAAATTTCTCTTCTTTCACGTAAGCTAAGGCTCTAGTAGAATCTTTCCCCTTGTCAGGGATTCCTTTCTTCCAAAAAATGCTCTGGCATATTTTGAAATGTGTAGTTTATCCCTCTTTCTTCCAGAAACCTAAGGATTTTCTCTTGCAAATTTACTATAGGAAACTGGTTGGTTCCTGGAAGTTAAGCACATGAGGGAGTGAAGGCCTCAGTAAGATGGCAATCTGAAGAAATCTCTCACTCTCAAGCCAGTGCGTGCTCTGTCCCCAGCAATTCGGCAAGATTACCATTTATGTGTTACTGTCCACTAATGGCTCCAGCTACCTCTGCTCCAGGAAGGCAAAAATCTTGGCTCTGTTTTTCTTTATTTACTTGTCTCTTCAGAACTCTTGCTGGTGGTTTGCCCTATGACTTCAATTCCCTGATGGATTCAATAGAACTTACTGATTTTTGGTTTGACTCCGAGATATTTACATGAGAGAGATAAAAGCTAGTTTTGTTTATACTAGTGTCAGTATTGTGTATTTTTTGCATCATTATATTTCTAATGTATTTAATGTCTTTGAATCTTTAGATTTGGATTTCTTGTAGTCAACATTTAGTTATATCTTGCTTTTCAACCAATTTGACAATCTTAGGCTTTTAATTGATATGTTTAAGTCATTTACATTTAATGTGTTTAGTAATATATTTCAGTTTAAATATACTGTTTTGCTCTTGTTTTCTATCTAATCTCTTCTGTTTTTCTTTGTTTTGCTTTTATGAATTAAGTACTCCATGATTTCATTTTATATCATTTAGGTGTTATCTATAATTTTTTGTAATCTCATGTTAGGAGTTGCTTCAGAGTTTATAGTTCTCCCCCTTAACTTACCTCAACCTACTTTCAAATGCTTAATAATAAGGAAATATTCTGACAAATGTATTGTTTTATAATTTTGTCATCATCCAAACATCAGAGTATACCTAGAAAAACTAAAATGTCTGTGATCTCAATAGGCAATATAATTTTATAAGATTACTATTTTCTATGCAGTTCATCATTGCCCCAATTGTCATGATGTGGCATATGACTGTAGCTTATTTATATGTATACAAACCTTAAAATTGTGTATTTCTATTTTGTTTCCCTGAGTCTTTGTGCTATTATGGTAATACATTTTAATTTTACATATAAACCATATTGCCTATTTGCAAGAACAATTACCTATGGAGCTGACTATTTTTGTATTATTTATTTATTTGTTTAAATTATATATGGTAGACAGAAGAACTGGTCTCCTAGCCTCCACTATGCCAATGTCCTATTTCCCAGGACTGTGAATATGTCAATTTACACAACAAAGAATCTTTTCAAATATGATTAAGGGTAAGGACCTTGTGATGAGTAGATTATGCTACATTATTCAGATAATCCCAACCTAATCACATAATTTCCTAAAAGCAAAGAATTTTCCTGGCTTAAGTCAGAGTCCAAAGCCAGAAGAAGATGTAATATAGGAAAATAATCATAGGATTACAACTTTACTGGCTTAGAAGATGAAAGACAGCATGAACCAAAGAATATGAGTTGCTCCTTGTAGGAGAAAAGGCAAGGAAACCATCTCCTTTAGCACCTTCAGAAAGAAGCAAGGCCTTGTCCACACCTAGATTTTAAGACCTATGCCAGACTGATGTAGAACTGTAATATGGCAAATTTGTATTCCTTTAAGCTACCAAGTTTGTAATAACTTGTTTCAGAAGAAATAGAAAATTGATATATGATTTATTATCAGTTACAGTATCACTCTCAAGATGGTGAAATTCATTCTTCAACATCAATAAAAATTATAATTTTTGTGTATGTGTGGTACTGAGGAATGAACCCAGGGCCTTCACACTGAGACATATCTCTATCTCATTTTTATTTTTCAACACAGGATAGCACTAAGTTGCTAATCAAAATATTACTTTTGTGTGTATAAATATTACTTTTTACATATAAAATACAAGTCTTCAGGAAGTTCATACGCAGATATGCAGTGTATCTCTGACATTAAAATTCTATGACGTGGAGGTGAGAGGAGCAGCTTGAAGCTACGCGGCCGTCCCGGGCCCCGCCCACGCCACTGTGAGGTCTGTTTAGCGGTGCTGCACCTTTCA